CTGTGTCCTGGCTCTGCCTCTGTACGGCTCCCACCCTGCTCCTTGAACCCAGAAAATTCTCTCTTGTCAGGATCTGTCAGTCATCCTTCCTCCTCCGCAAACCTCAGGCAGAGGCACCTCTGTCACCCCAGGGCCCAAGAGAAGCCCTGGATTGGCTCCCTCATCTTCCTCTTACCCAGGCCTGATGATTCTGTCCCTAAAACATGTTTGAGTCCTCCACCTGCCCTGGCTGTACTCACTCCTCCACAAACATCTCTGCACAGTCGCTGCTTAGGAATCCCGATCTCCTTGGACCCCGCTGCCTAGAATCAGAGCCCACCCCCACGCCTCGGCCTAGCAGCCGCTGCCCCTGCAGACTGCAGTCCATCAGGTGGTGGGTGGATGTGCCTTGTGGTCTGGTGTGTCCTCAGGTCTGGCAGTCCCGGGTCACAGCCAGCACCTGCTGGATGAATGGACTGAGCAGGAAGCTCACCCAGAGCTGTGTGTCCCTTTGTGGGTGTCCCTTTGCTTCTCAGGGTGGAAGGGGCACCTCGCTGTAGAGCCTTCAGGCTGGGACTCTGGCTCTGCAGGGAGGGGTGGGAATGGTGGTGGTATCTGCCTTCTCCAGGGGGGTCAGGTGGAAGCTGGAAGCTGCTCACAATTGACCGGGACCTCATGGTGGCACAGTTCTCCACGCCCAGCCTGCCCCCAAGCCTGGTGAGTGATGGTGGGCGTTCGCCCAGGCCAGAATGCAGGGGTTCCATGCAGGCAGAGCTCCCCAGGTCAGGGAAGTGGCCTCAGAGTCTGACTGGCTGGTCAGCATGTGAGAAGCCAAGGTGTGGGCCCAGGGTAGCTAGTCCATGAGGGTCTGGCACCATGCGGAGGAACTACTGGGCTAAGGTCTGCTCTATACAGAACAGGGTGTCTGGGAAAGTGCCCAGTCCTTGGGTATAACAGTATAGGGAGACGGCAGAGCCTAGAAGCTGAGGAGGGAGGGGTACGTATGTGTGGTTACGTGAGTACCTTTGTACATATCAGCTTACGACAAGAGTCCATGCTGTACCCTCTGGAGGTGGGCAGACGGCCCACCATAATGAGAGTTGCCCTTTCTCAGAGGTGGAAAGGCAGGGAGGCAGCCAGGCCTGTGACACACTCTTTTCCCTTGGCAGAAAGTTGGGTTTCTGCCTCCTGCGGGGAAGGAGCAGACAGTATCCTGGGTGTCCCTGGAGGAGGCCGAGCCCATTCCTGACATCTCCTGGAGCATCCGGGTACTACAGCCACCCCCAGAGCAAGAGCATGTGCAGTATGGTGAGCTGGGCCAAGGGCTGAGGGACACCTTCTCTTGAGTTCCCCAGCATATAGGGTCTGTGGTCACCTTTCTCACCTCCTGTCTCACATTTTGGGGTCTCTTGAGATTATCTCCAAGAGGCTTTCTGTTCCTCTTGTGGTCAGTCATGGGGAGCAGTGTCTGGGCATCATCAGACCAAATCATCTGTGGTGGGATAATGAAGCCCAAATAACAGTCCTATACAAGGTCTCTGTGACCACACGCTACCAGGATGTTGTCCCTGCAGACAGTGAGACTCCCTGACTAGGGCAGAAGGAGCATGAGCCTCTTGGGGTCCATGTGTCACAGTGTGGGCTACCTTGGCCAGGCCTCTTGTTTCAGAGGTCAGCCCCAGACCTGGATCTACAGCTGAGGCCTTGGCTCGGGAAGCCCCTGGGGATTAGCACCGGCCCTGCTGATTGCCTTTCTCCCTGCAGCTGGCCTTGACTTTGAAGCGATCCTTCTGCAGCCCAGCGATCCTCCAGATAAGACCCAGGTGCCCATGGTGGTCATGCCCCACGGTAGGCAACTGGCTTGAGAGTCCCTGCCTTCCCACCACCCCTCCTATCTGGCTCTTTCACCCTCTCTCTGCTCCCTATCTGCAGGGGGACCCCATTCATCCTTTGTCACTGCCTGGATGCTGTTCCCAGCCATGCTTTGCAAGATGGGCTTTGCAGTACTGCTGGGTGAGTGAGCAGGGCCCACGGCTCTGGTAGGGATGTCGGGTATCAATGGAGTGGATCTGGTTTGTACCACCCTAGTCTCCAGGCCTCTCTGTAGTCTGGACCTGGTAACCACTATCCGAAACTGCCCTCGCCCAGCCTCTGGCTCCATGGCATGGTGATAACATGGGCTAAATCAAGACTTCCATGGGAAGGGTGCTGTAGTCACTGGGCTTTCTCAGATTTCTTAGCCCCTTCCCCTTGAGTCTGTGGTGGCAGCTGGCCTTAAGGCCTACTTCACATATGGGTGAAAGGGTATCCGGGGAGCTAGGAATGCCACTTGACTACTCTGTCTGGTCCCTCCCTGGCCTCCAGTGAACTATCGTGGCTCCACGGGCTTTGGCCAGGACAGCATCTTCTCCCTCCCCGGCAATGTGGGCCACCAGGATGTGAAGGACGTCCAGGTAGCAGGGGCTGGGGCTTCTGGACAGGTTGGAGGGTAGGTTCTTGGGGGTGTGCCTTCATCCTGCTGAGCAGGCAGCCGGCTGCAGCATGATCTGCCCCACCCTGTAGTTTGCAGTAGAGCAGGTGCTCCGGGAGGAACACTTTGACGCAGGCCGTGTGGCCCTTATGGGTGGTTCCCATGGTGGCTTCCTCTCCTGCCACCTGATTGGTCAGTACCCAGAGACCTACGGCGCCTGTGTGGTGCGGAACCCTGTGATCAACATTGCCTCCATGATGGGCTCTACTGACATCCCTGACTGGTGGGTGTGCCCACAGGTCCCTGCCCTTCTCCCCTCTACCCCATACCCTCATGGAGCTCCCATAGGCCCCAGAACTCCAGGAGCTGCTTCAGCTCAGTCTCTTGCAGGTGCGTGGTGGAGTCTGGCTTCCCCTACAGTAGCGACTGTCTGCCAGACCTCAGCCTGTGGGCTGACATGCTGGACAGGTCGCCCATCAAGTACACCTCTCAGGTACACAGCCCTCCCCCTGCCCGCTGTGCTGCCAGTGTGTCCAGGGCCCCAGACCCTGCTTACAACGACTCCCCACACATCCAGGTGAAGACTCCACTGTTACTGATGCTGGGCCAGGAGGACAGGCGTGTGCCCTTCAAACAGGGCATGGAGTATTACCGTGCCCTCAAGGCCCGGAACGTGCCAGTTCGGTGAGTGTGGCACACATCTGGCGACAGCCCTGGGAGCTGGTGAGCAGGGGAGGATCCTCCAACCTCAAACATCGCTGCCCGATCCTTGCAGGCTCCTGCTCTATCCCAAAAGCACCCATACACTGTCAGAGGTGGAAGTGGAATCAGACAGCTTCATGAATGCTGTGCTCTGGCTGTGCACACACTTGGGCAACTGAAACCCTACCTCTCTGCATGAGCCGGCTGGCATAAGCCGCACTTGGCTCTTGGAGAGCCCCAGGGTCTAGCAGAGAGGTGAAAGGCATCCTGGGCTCTGGACTCCATGGATGGGTGAGCCGAGGAATGTGGACTATATACTCATAATAAATGAGGACACAGAGTCTGGTTCCTGCTGGTACTTTGTACCAAGCCACCCGTAACCCCAGCCCCACCCTTGGGGTTCAGAGGCCGTAGGCCCTGGGTGTGGCAGCCATAAGGACGGCATCTACTGCCAATGTGAGGGGGCAGGGGATAGTGAGAGACTGAACCGCTGCCTGTCCTGGACACGTGGGACTCCACCAGGCTAGCTCCCTCTGCTGCAGCCCCTTCTGTTAGAAACTGCCCTACACCATCCTTCCCCTCCCAAGTTTATCTGGGGGACCAGTGAGGCCCTGCTTTCCACAGCACCTAAAGGCTAAGGTAGCCCTCGGGTCAGATCGCCCAGCCCAGGGTGTGCTGGACTCGAGCCACCCAGGCCCTAATGAGGTGTTGCCAATTCATGCCCTAGAAGCAGAGGCTAAGAAGCACCCTTCAGAGGCATAAGGAAGAAAGGTGGCTTTATGTCTGACAGATAGCTTCATCCTCC